CTTATAGTAGTGCTTTGTAATTTTCATTGTATAAGTCCTTTGTTTCTCTGGTTATGTTTATTTCTAGGTATTTCATCTTTTGTGTGGATATTATAAATAGTAATGTTTTCCTAATGTCCTTTTCATCATTATTGCTGTTGCTATAGAGAAAGCCAATTGATTTTTGTATGTTGATCTTATACCCTGCCACTTTGCTGAATCTTTCGATGAGGTCTAATACTTTTTTTACTGAGTCTTTGGTGTTTTCTATGTATAGGATCGTATCATCTGCAAATAAGGAGAGTTTTACTTCCTCTTTGCCAATTTGGATGCCTTTAGTTTCTTTATCATGCCATATAGTTCTGGCTAAAGCTACCAGCACAGTATTGAATAGGAGTGGTGATAATGGGCATCCTTGTCTGGTTCCTGTTCGCAGAGAGAAGGCTTTCAGTTTCTCTCAGTTGAGCGTGATGTAGGCTCTTAGTTTTGTATATATACTCTTGATTATGTTGAGGAATTTCCCTTCAATTCCTACTTTGTTGAGTGTTTTTATCAGGAATGGATGTTGGATTTTTTTCAGTGCCTTTTCTGCATCAATTGATATGATCATGTGGTTCTTTTCCTTTTTCTTATTTATACGGTGGATTATGCTGATTGTTTTCCTGATGTTGAACCATCCTTGCATCCCTTTTATGAAACCCTCTTGGTCATGATGTATTATTTTTTAAATGTGTTGTTGGATTCTGTTGTATAGGATTTTGTTGGGAATTTTTGTGTCTATATTCATGAGGGATATTGGTCTATAATTTTCTTTCTTGGTGATGTCCTTCCCTGGTTTTGGTATGAGGGTTATACTTGCTTCATAAAAAGTATAATGGAGTTTTCCTTCCTCTTCTATGTTCTGGAATAATTTGAGTAGAATTGGTGATTGTTCTTCTCTGAATGTTTGGTAGAACTCACCCGTGAAGCCATCTGGGCCTGGGCTTTTGTTGGTTGGGAGTTTCTTGATGATCTTGTCAATTTCTTCTTTTGTTATGGGTTTGTTCAAATTTTCAACTTCAGTCTAAGTTTAGGTAGGTCGTGTTTTTCTAGAAATGTATCTAATCCAAATTTTCGAATTTATTGGAGTACAGCTCTTCTTAGTATTCTGTTACTATCTTTTTTACTTCATTTGGTTCTGTTATGACTTCACCTATGTGGTTTCTAATGCGATTGATTTGTGTCCTCTCCCTCTTTTCTATAGTTAGTTTTGCCAATGGTTTGCCAATTTTCTTCAGCTTCAGCCTGAACTTGCATATGAGCAATTGATGTTCTGTTCCACAGTCTGCCCCTAGCCTTGTTTTGGCTGATGATATGGAGCTTTTCCACTGTCTTTTTCCAAAGATGTAGTTAATTTGACTTCTCTGTATTGCATCTGGTGAGGTTCATGTGTCTAGTCATCTTTTATGTTGTTCAAAAAAGGTATTTGCAATGAAGAAGTCTTCAAAAATTCTATCATGCAACCTCCAGCATCGTTTCTATCACCAAGGTCATATTTTCCAACTACTGATCCTTCTCTTTGTTTCCAACCTTTGCATTACAATCACCAGTAATGAATATTCCAATCACCTTCTTGATTGCATGCTTGATGAATTTCACACTAAAGAATTTAGTAGAATTCTTCAATTTCATCATCATGGCTTTAGTGGTTGGTGCCTAAATTTGAATAATAGTGGTATTAATTAATCTTCCTTGTAGGCATTTGGATATCATCGGACAATATTATTAGTATCGCATGCAAGTAAAATTTTCCTAAACATAATTTGAAAACAACTGCAACAATATATTGACAGAGAACTTCATCCTCAAACTGGCATCTTTGTTCTTCAAAACTTTAAAGAGATCTGTGCAACAGATTTGCCTAATGCAACATGCCGTTTCATTTCCTGACTGCTGCTTCCATGAGTGTTGATGGTTGATCTGAGCAAAATGAAGTCTTTAACAATTTCAATATTTTCTACATTTATATGGATGCTATATATTGGTCCAGTAGTGAGGATTTTTGTTTTCTTTACATTGAGATACAATCCATACCATAGGTTGTGGTCTTTGATCTCCATCAGTAAACATTTTAAGTCCTCTTCACTTTCAGCAAGCTAGGTTGTTATCATCTGCGTATCGCAAGTTGTTAATGAGTCTTCCTCCAATCCTTTTGCAACATTTTTCTTCATATGACTCAGATTATTTGCTCAGCATACAGTTTGAATAAATATGGTCAAAGAATACAACCCTGTCACACACCTTTCCTAATTTTAAACGTTTCAGTGTTCCTTGTTTTATTCCAACAACTGTCTCTTGGTTTCTCAAGCACAATTAAGTGTTCCAGAATACTCATACTACACAATGTTGTTCATAGCTTGGTATGATCCACAAAATCAAAAGCCTTTGCATAGTCAATAAAGCACAGGTAAACATCTTTCTGGTATTCTTTGCTTTCAGCCAAGATCCAGCTGACATCAGCAGTGATATCCCTCGTTCCATGTCTTCTTCTGAATGGGTACCATAGGATTTTCTATATGCAAGACTATGTTATTTGTGAAAATTGTTTTACTTTTTCTTTTCCAATTTTAGCTGTCTTTTATTTCGTTTTCCTACCTACTTTCCAGTCCTGATCTTTGCCTTTTCCTGATCTTTTGGAAAATGTTTCAGTGTTTCACCATTAAGTATGTAAATCTGTGGGGATTTTGTAAATGCACTTCATCAGGTTGAGGAAATTTCCACTAATAACTTGTTTGTTGAATATTGTTCTCATGAAAGAGCTTTGGAATTTGCTAAATGCTTTTTCTTCGTCTATTGAGATGAACTTGTGTTTTTTGTTTTTATTCCTTTGAAATGATGTATTATATTAGTTGACTTTTGGATGTTAAACTAACTTTACATTTTTAAGATAAATCCTGCATGTTCTTGGTGTTTAATCCTTTTTAGATGTTACTAAAAGTAACTTTTTGCATATTATTGAATTTGGTTTGCTAGTATTTTGTTGAAAATTTTTGTAACTATATTAATAAGAGATTTGATATGTAGCTTTCTTGTAATGTCTTTGTCTGATTTTTGTATCAGGATAATTCTGGCCTAATAGTATGGGGTTAGGATACACTCCCTCCATGTCTGTTTTTTACAACAGTTTGTGAAAGGTTGATGGAAGTTTTCTTTTTTAGTTTTTATTGTGAATTGAGTGATAATTTACATGGTTGAACATTGGCTTTATACTCATCCTTTCATTGCAATGATTACAGTACCCTCCATGCATCATCATTCAACAGTATTTGCTTCTATTTCCTGTATTTGTTGGTTCGTTGATTTTTTTTAATGTACACAAAATCACTCAGGAATATATAGTCATTTAAACAACCAAAAGCCACATTCTACAAGCCAGACTCCTTGCCGCCAGCACACAGCCTTTCTCTTTCCTAAGTCTGGAGTCCTCAGCTGCTCTTTGATGGAATTCCTTTTAAAATGTTTCATAGAGAAGATAAATCTCTCAACACTACTAATATTGAAGAACAAACACAAAAAAGGATAAAAACAATCTGAAGAAGGCCTAAGATTCATGTTGGATAAAATATTTCATAGAATTCACCAGTGACACCATCTGGAATTTGCTTTCTGGAAAGTTTTAATTTCTTATCTTCGTAGAGGTCTACTTGGATTTTTTAGTTCTTCTTGAGTTTCTTTTGATACTTTGTCTCTTCCTACGATTTTTTTTTTTTCATTTCATAAAAGTTATTTAATTTGTGGGCATATGTCTATTCATATTATTATTTTATATATTTTTTGTTATTTCTGTACAGGCTGTAGTAATGTCCCCACTTTCATTCTTAATTTCGGTCCCCACTTTCATTCTTGATTTTAGCCAATAGAATTTGCCCTTTTTTTCTTGGTCAATCAAATTAAAAGTTTGCCCTTTTTGTTGAGTTTTCTAAGAAAACTTTTGATTTTAGTGATAGCCTCTATTGATTTTTTTATTTTAGTGATAGCCTCTATTGTCTGCATTTTATTCCATTAATTTCTACTATTTTTACTATTTATTTGCCTTCTACTTACTTTATATCTACAGTTGACCCTTGAACAACTGCATGGGCCCATTTATTGCAGATTTTTTTTTTTTCTGCTGCGTATATCCTTCTGAAATGCCATGTGACACGGTACCTGGAGAGCAGAACTGATGGTGCAGGAATGCTTAACTCCAGAGATGACTGTTGCTGGAGATGAGTTGTGTTGCCTGGCATTTTCAAATATTAGTTTTACAACACTTGAACTCTTGAACTCGTTGCAGTGGCAGCAGGAAAAAATATCCAAGTATAAATGGGCCCTGAGTAGTGGTGTGGTGCTATAGGATAAGCACTGGACTGCTAAACCCAAATTTGATAGTTCAAACCCACCAGCCCCTCATCAGAAACCTTGTGCAAGGTTGCTGTCAGTTGGAACTGACTCAGTGACACTTAATAACAAGTGAGCTCACAGAATTCAAACCCTACACTATTCAAAAGTTAACTGTAGTTTGGTCTTTTCAAACACTGTCGTTAGGTGGAGGAATAGATTATTGATTTGAGCTTTTTCTTCTATTTCAGTATTTATAGCATAATTTCCCCTCTAAACATTAACTTAGTTTCATCCCATAAATTTTGTTATGCTGTCTTTATTCATTCATTTAAAAATGTATTAGAAAAGGTTTTAGAATTTTTCCTTGGTTACTTAAGGGGTATGTTGTTTAAGTTACTACACATGTTTGTAAATTTCCCAACTGTTACTGATTTTAATTTAATTGTCATTGAAAACATGTTTTGTGTAATTTAAATTCTTTTACATTTATTGAGGCTTGTTTTATGACCTAGCATATGAACTATCCTGGAGAACATTCCATGTGGACTTTAGGAAAATATGTATTCTGCTTGCTGGATGAAGTGTTCTGCAGATGCCTCTTTGGTCTGTTTGGTTTATAGCTCTGTACAAATTCATTTTTTGTTATTTCTTCTTTTCAGTTGATGAATTAATCAGTCCTAAAGACATTGATCCGGTTCAACGCTATGTCCCACTACAGAATCAACGAAACGTGAGCATGAGGTTTTCAAATCAGGTAAAGGGGTCTTTTTTCTTAATTTAAACTTAACCAAAGACTTTGGTGTGGCACTGTAGGTTAATGCACCAGACTGCAAAGCCGTTTGAACTGCAAGGTCGGCGGTTCAAGCTCACCAGCTTCTCTTCGGAAACTGTATACAGGGTCGCTATGGGTCGGAACCAACTTGACGGTACTTAACAGCAACAACAAAGACTTTAGACTTAACTGAAGAAGAAATTTTATTCCAAGTGGGTGTCTGTTGGTCCTACTTAAGGAGAAAGCTTCTCCTTCTTGTGGTTCATTAAGATTTACTTCTGGTAGTGATTATATTTATTATTAAGGAAATAGCCAGAGGTATCCAAGCACAGTCTTTCAGGTAAATACTGTCAATACCATCAGAATGATTGCATGTAGAGTGTCAAATATCTTTAAGACTACATAGATCATTGGGCTGGTGGGAAAACACATGAAATGATGCTATTATTGAAGAGAGTTAGTTTCCATGGAAGGCCCTGTATCTACCAAGTCCCCAGTCCTTTGTCTTCATGACAGAATTGAAAGAGTTGTTCTTAGTATGTGGTAACATGTCAGGGGAGGGAGCACTTTAAAATATTTACATTTAGTTTCTATGGTTACAGACTGTGTTGTGTCAACAAAATAAGTGTGTGCAGGATCAGAAAGATTGATGTTGACTTGAGCAAACCCTGAAGTATTAAATGATATTAGTAATGAGGACTGTCAAAATGAAAATGTAGATTGTGGAAACTGCCTGAGGAGAAAGGAAATGAAACTGCATGTGTGCCTGGGATTATAAGTACCTAATATGCATTTAATAAGAATACCATCAACAGTTATAGAAGATATACTGAGAAAATCAAAGTGTTCCTTGCATTTAAAAATTTTAAAAAGCATATACATTTGCACATGCATATAGCACATACACATATGAGGTATGTTATTGTTGTTAAGTGCCATTGAGTCAGTTCTGATACTTAGTGATCCCGTCTAGGATTTCTGAAGCCCCAAATCTTTGTGGGACTAGAAAGCCTCTTCTTTCTCCTGAGGAGCAACTGGTGGACTTGAACTGCTAGCCTTGTGGTTCACAGTCCAGCACTTATCCACCAGAGCCACTGTGCTCCCATGTGTATGTAGTAGAATATATATGTTGTTGTTAAGTACCATTGAGTCAGTTCTGACTCACAGTGACCCTGTATAGGGTTTCTGAGGAGCAACTGGTGGGTTTGAATCATTAACTTTGTGGTTAGTAGTTCAGTACTTGTCCTACAGTACCATA